TTCTTCTGTTCCATTTCCACAGGTAATCTAATTTGAATTGCAAAATAAACTGCTGTTCTCTCCAGTGATGGCTCATAATATTTATTTTAAGAGTTTTATTTCTATCAGGATTTTCTGCTTTTCTCCCCAGTATTTCAATAAGGGCCAGCTCACATTCACCATGTTTAAAACAGACATGCCATTTCTGGTTCAAGTATTTTATCTTATCTAGACATCATCCAAGTTCTCATTATGGCCATCTCTTTTGCTCTTTACTTAAAAATTTGCACTTCCTAACTTAGGCAGACTACATTTTGTGGATAATTACTATAGATATTAGAAGGTAAAAGATACTATATTTCCTATCCCTCCACATATAAAATACACACTTATTCTTACTTATTTTTCAGTTACTTTGCCATATTTTTCTTTGGCTTTAGAAACTGAGGATGCACTGCAGATGAGTTGGGACAAAGCAAGGGAAGGTAAATCCATACATCTCTGGCTATCTGCAGCCATAGCACCTCTGCCTAGTGCCCTCTTGATGGCTTTTTGGTGTCATTCCCTAGCTTGTGGGACAAGAAATACAGCTGAAGACACCTACAGCTTCGCTCCTTCCGGGACCACCATGGATTCACAGACGTGTAAGTCTTCCCTGGAAGGTTTTAGAGCAGCTGCTGTCTTTGAGATTTCAGGAGTTACAGTCTTTTCATTAAAAAAGGCATCTGTGCTGTGAACACCACAGCACTCTCACAACAGACTCCGCGCTTTCATTACAGGCTGACGCACATCCAGAAGCCCGATGTTTCTGTCACAGAAACGCACGACTACCACTTAGCTAATGTGAAGTAACTCGGGCGCTTTGCGAGCAGTACCGGGCTCGCTATCTCCCGCTCGCAGAAAGGATGAGATTTACTGCAGCAGCCGCCTGCCACCGCGTGCCACATCCACGGCAGCCCAGAAAAATGAAACCAGCGCACCCACGCGCGTGCAGGACACGCACTGGGAAAAAGCGAGAGATCAGCTAGGTCCAACGGATAAATAAATACAGCATCTTAACCTTGGAAGTTCCATGAGATGAAATCCTAAAAACAAAAAAGCCGAAGGGACCGGCCGCTCTCCCTCC